CCGAGGTAGTTGAGAAGCTTCTTGGTGGCAAGGCACTGGGGGTGGATGAGATCCGCCCCGAGTACCTCAAGTCTCTGGATGTTGTGGGGCTGTCTTGGCTAACACGCCTCTGCAACGTCGCATGGTGGTTGGGGACAGTGCCTCTGGACTGGCAGACGAGGGTGGTGGTCCCTCTTTTCAAGAAGGGGGACCGGAGGGTGTGTTCCAAAGATAGGGGGATCACACTCCTCAGCCTCCCCGGGAAAGTCTATGCCAGGGTACTGGAGAGGAGAATTCGACCAATAGTCGAACCTCGGATTCAGGAGGAACAATGCAGTTTTCGTCCTGGCCGTGGAACACTGGACCAGCTCTATACCCTCTTCAGGGTGGTGGAGGGTTCATGGAAGTTTGCCCAACCTGTCCACATGTGTTTTGTGTTTTCTTAGTACAACTGTTTCACCAGCACTGAAATTTTCATACTGACGGGCACAAATACACAACAAACGTCTGAGGAGACACAGCCCTAAAAGCCAATATTTAAAACCCTTAATCAAAAAATACAACTTGAGGCCAGTGAACACATGTGGTAGAAGCAAATTATAGCAGCGCCATAAAAACTATGAGTAAATGGTTGCATAAAACACACAGCACCATACTGACGTCTGACTCTGTAGTCTGGGCTGGTTTTCCGGTCTAAAACATCACGATTCACTTGAAGAACTCATCTCCAATGTCCTTGCCCAGCTCTCTGGCTCACTTGTTAGCTTTCCAAAATGATCAGTTTGGACACTCAGTTTGTTGAACTTCAAGGTTTGCATCACTTTTGCAAACACAAAACAGTTTTTTATATTGTGAGAATGAAAGAAAAATACAAGAGAAACCAGTGGAATCTGGGTCCGTCTGTAGCCTGTCTGAAAGATTTGTGTAAACTCTTAACAGACGAAGACATCGGTGGTCAAAGTGACGCACCTCTCTCCAGAAGACAAACAGAGTCCCACAGACGATGATGACAGCTGACACCAGGATCTTGACGATGAGACTGCGGGTGAGGATGCTGTCTCTCACGTTACGAGGAGGTTTTCTGATCACATCCTTATCGACTGGCTCCACACCCAAACTATCAACAACAAGATACTGTCAAAATCACAGTGGTACCATTGTGGTCACTATCACAAGTTATTTAACCATGAAACCTCGAAAATCTTTAATTTTTAAAACATTATTTTTAATGTACGGACACCAGGGCCAAAGCCAGTTAAAATAAATATTTTCCCTAATTAGAACGATGGTAAAATGGTACTGGTAAAATCAAATGTTTTCTGTTAATGTTTCTAAATTGTCTCTATACTTCCAGGAATTAAACTGTGGTAAAGGAATACAGATTATTTATCTAACTGGCCATCCTCAAAATCAAAGCATCTTCCAGTTCAGTGGGAAGTTAGAAAATACCCTCCATGTGCAGTTCACAGGAGGGTTAAAACCCACCCAGTCTGTGAATTTGTTTTTAACTCTGCACAGTCTTTCTATCTTGACATTACATTTCCTATGATTCCCCTGTACCTCTGAGCAGGAGGTCCGTCCATGATGATGTTGATCCACAGGATCTGCATGGCGTTCAGTGGATTGGGGAAGTTCATCAGCGTCGCCAAAGAGATGAGCGTCAGCGCTGCAATGCTCCTGAAGACCAGCAGGGAGCCAGAGCAGAAAGACATGTGAGACACACTGGTGTGAAAAAGTGACCTCAGAACTGAGAGGTTCATGTTGGCAAAACTAGCTGCGTGGGTCTGTTTTACATCAGTAGAACAAACATAATTCAGACTCACGTGCTCAGCTGGAAGCGGACAAAGTTTTTGATGTTGTTGTAAATCCCTTTTCCCTCCTCGATGGCCGCCCTGAGGTGAACAGACATTTAAGACTTTACTTTTCATTTCAAACAATTTACCCTCCTGACAAACTGGATCGGAGACAACATGTGTTGGCATTTATACTGCATATCCCTTATTCTGCAAATACAGATGACAATACAACATTATTGTTACCAACCAAAAACTTAAATATATTAAGTTTATATGATTATATAAAATTATAATCACATAAAGCACACATATGAAAATTTTTGTTGACGTGTTTCCTACATTTCCTAGGTTTCCTACATTTTGAAGGCATCAATGATCATTTGAAATATGTCTAGGTGACATTTTATGAAAAAGAGAAAAATCCCCCCATTGGACAAACTGAAACCAGACAGAACTTGGCGTTGGAATAACCTGATTAATAGGACGCTCCCTAATGCTAATTTTTGGGTTTCAGCGCTTTGATGGTAATAATCTAATCTACTCTGGGTTAAAAAACAAAAAAAAGTTAGAGAATTCTTACATAATATTTAATGTAAAAAATGGACAAACAATACTGAAATTGAAAACCAATAACTGAATAGTCAAGTATTTGGGTCCAGCCTTAGTAATTAGTTAACTTATCTTCAAAACTGTCACTGAGTTTTATTTCAGCATGAGCTGGGCTCCTCAGCAAAGCAGCTGTGTGTGTTTGCACGTTTATATTTATAGTTAGTGTGTTTTAAGTTACGCTGATGCCTGTTGATCAGCTCACCCGTCAGGTCCGAGGAGCTCTTACACTCCACACACCTGCAGGCCTAACCCTAAGACCACAGGAACACTGTAAACTCTGAAGACCTTTACTGCAGGTCCAACACCCCAAGTGCTGACTCACAGGATGGTCTGGAAGTCGTCGTCCACCAGAATCATGTCGGCCGCCTCCTTGCAGACGTCAGTGCCCGTCTGACCCATCGCCACGCCGATGTCAGCGGCCTTCAGAGCCACAGCGTCGTTGACACCATCGCCTGTCATGGCCACTACGGCGCCGATGTTCTGCAGGGACTGCAAAGAGGTGGGCCTTACATTTAAAAATGTTCTTATAGCTATGTCCAGCTACTCTGTGTTAAACCTTGCGTTGAATGTTTCAGCGATGCTTACAAATAGGAGAACTCACAATAAGTGTCACTAACATTATATTTAAAGGTAAAACACAGTTTGCTAGTCAACATCCCCAGTCTGGCTTGGAAAGTTGATCTGAGTAGGAAGGTTTCCATCCAAATGTAGCACAAATTTGAACTGAATGTCAAGAAGTTTGGCAAAAGAAAATGCTGATTAACTTCACAGCAGTGGTGGAAACATCTGCTCCCTCAGTGCATCCAAAAGTCTCCACAGCACATTTTGTTCATTCTGCTCACCTTGACAATCTTCAGCTTGTGTCTGGGACTGGCTCGATAAAACACAGCTATCTGTGGAGGCAGGAGACAAACTTCAACATGCCAAGGTAGTTGCCAAGGCGATGAATATAAATGACTTTGCGGGAGGACCTTCTTGGTGTTACCGCTTCATGCAACGCAACCGCCTCTCTATCAGAGCACGGACAACTGTTAATATGTTACGTTAACATACCGCCTATTCACGTTATGTTAACAGACGCATATTCAGCCTGTTGTTCTCCATTTTATTGTTATTAAGATAACTTGCCTTTCAAGATGAAATGTATGTTCTTGGTCTCTGATTTTATGAAATATATTTCCCCCAAAAAGTGCGACTTATAGTCCAGTGCGACTTATATATGTTTTTTTCTTCTTCATTATGCATTTTTTGGCTGGTGCGACGTATACTCAGGAGCGACTTATAGTCCGGAAAATACGGTATGCAGAAATAAAAATGTTCTGCCATATTTATTTTAAAAAGGCACAGTTCTGTTTATTTAAGGTCACTTCCTGTCTCACACATGAGAGGATGTTGGAGCTCTGTGATGGAGGAATCACAGATCATATCTCACAGTGAGTGTCTGTATCCTGATAACATAATAGAGAGCAGTTTCTTTAAAGGGGATGATGATGGAAACCCTGAAGTCCTGCAGAACTCGGTCACAATCAGTAACAACAGTGTTATGGTAGCATTTAAATATCCTTAAGTTGAAGAATGTAAAAGCGTGTAGAGAGTAATTCTGTGTGATTTTCCTCTTTAAAAAGCACGACTACTTGTTCCTCATCCAGGAGCTCTGTGTGGGGCTGTGGGTGTGAAATACAGTGTCTTCACGCCCATGATGTATATGCATTGGCGTGTGCGCCCGCTATGTGTTCTCACCCTGGGGACGATATTTGAAAGCTGCTGCAGGTCAAGCTGATCCACCTCTTCTCCAGACAAACACTGAGAGTAAAGACCCAGACGAGTGGCTGCACAGAGGGGCACAAAACCATCCAATTGTTTTCAGCTGCTACTGACTGTTGGTGTGAAGGTGCAGTTTGACATCATGATGCAACCTAAAAGTTGGATTATCTTAGCTTGTCTGTCTCCTCAACAGATGACTAAGTAAACACATCCTATACCAACAGCGATAGCCACACCTAGAAACTGTTAACCTGATGAAGCTGTTCAGAACTCCACTGATGAAACCCCATCGCCACCTCTCACCTATCGACACTGCAGTCTCCTGGGAATCTCCAGTGATCATCTTAACATCTACTCCAGAGGCGATCAACGTGCCTACGGCTTCCTTGACCCCTGACCTGGGAGGGTCGATCATGCCCACCAGACCCCGGAAGGTCAGGTTCCCCATCTCAGAGCCCGAAGCAAACGCCAGGACTGAAGGGAGGAGGAGAAGGACAGAGAGAGTGTTCACCAGATCCAACCAGAGTCTGAATAAAGACAAGTGACGCTGCAAATTTTTACACATCCTATTAGCAAGGGCAGAAACTAAGTACATTTTCTCAAGCACAATTTTAAGATACTTTGCTTGAGATACTATCTTAAGATACTATTTTTTTACTCTCTGGCAAAAGATCTGAGTACTTCCATGACATCGTCTTAGTAACCGTTATTGTGTTTAGACAAGCTCAGGCAGATGTTACCTCTGAGTCCAGCGGTGCCCATGTAGCTGAGCTGCTGCTGATAGAGCTCCCTCTGCTGACTGTTCAGAGGCATTGCTGTTCCTTTGCTGTTGTAGGAGCTACAGAAGCGAATCACCTGCTCATATGCTCCCTTCATGTAGTAAAGTCCAGGCTTGTCCTGAGGGGGTAAACAACATGACCAGAGCTCAGCACAGCGCAAGCATCATTACTGGGAAACACACAGGAGATAGTCAGATAAACAGGCAACTCACTGGAAGTGTAATGCCAAAAGGGTCTGAATTTAAACACTAAGGCTGTGTCCACATCGCAGGCCTTAACATTAAGCTCTGATATTTGTGCGTTGCTGGTTCCTGTCCATGTGTGTCAGTGCCATGTACTCGGCTCTGGTGTGAACACCGCTGAGCTCCTATACTGCCACACATGCACAGATGCAACTGAAATGTGAGCCACATGCGCACTAGAGTAACAACCAGGTCGTGTGTGCGACGGTCAAATGGCCCAGTTTCCTCCCAAACTGCTGGGTTATGATATGTTCTTTCCAGTTAGGCCTGATCAGAAGCTTCTCCATAAATGTCTAGCACATGAGAAACGTCCTGGTCTCTCCACTGACCCTGTCGCTGTTGTCATTCTCCCCCATGTTTATTGTTACTGGTCTGTGAGGGGCTGATGCTAAATGATGATGACAGGCTATATGTGCAGAGGACTTAAAAACACCCATAAAAAAAAATCACCTGTGTTATAATTTAGTGAGTGATCAAGGGTGTACCAACCTGCTGCGTGCGGTGAACACAGCGAACAGCCATCCACTTCTGCTCCGAGGTGAAAGGATACTCCTCCACACGGATGTACTCCTGCTGCACACTCTCCAGACCGAGCTGGAAAACAGACACAGCTGGATCACAGAGTGCTGCTCAGACATGACATGAGACAATTCGCATTCACTTCCCAGCTGGCTAGAGACGCAGAAAACACCGGGGTCGACTGATTTATCTCTCCTTTCAACAGCAAAGCAGTTCAAAGCATTTTACATAAGACATAAAAGGAAGTGACAGAAGATCTGAACAAAAGGCTGTTTTCAAAACATTAACTGTCTCTAGTCATGCTGATGTTCCAATAGTTGTGAAAAATCACACAAATCGATCTTAGTGTGACACTAGAATATCACAAAAATCAGTAGGATCAATCCTCTGGATGATCTCTACAAAATTCTATTTGTCAAAAAGTTGAGACATTTCAAAGGATGGATGAAAACAATGACCTGATGGTGGCGCCAGAAGCAAAGTCAGGGAATTTATCCAGTATACAGTTGGAGTAATTGAAAGCTCAGAAACAAGTGAGTCACTTGAGTTGAAATTGTTTTGTCAGGAAAACATCGTTGTTTGTTATGATGAGTTTTTCCTTACATGCACAATTAATATGCGGGTCTAGAAAAGTGCAAAGATTCTTGTTTCTATGCATAAGTTTAATGTCTTTGTGATTTTCCTTAAGTTAAGAACCCTCCTGGGACAATATGATCATTAAATTATGCCGTGCTTACACCTGCCTTGGGATATGCTGAGTCAGGTTAGACTCACTTTCTAACAGAATCCAAGTCTTTTGATGCGGTGACAACATTTCACTGTGTCTGCAGTGAAACTGTGGAGCACTAGCTTCACTCTGTCTTATAGTAATCTCCATATGCCTGTTAACATACTGTATGTACAACCATAGATGGAAGCTCAGCAGTCTCAACCTTTCTAATAAACATGTTTCTTAACAAAATCCTGGTTGTTATGAATTTGGAGTTGGGTCTGGTTCAGGATTTGATTTTGTTTTCTTTCCCTCTGCTTCAGATTGGCAGTTTGTTTCCTCTTAATCTGAACGTGTTGAGCGCAGCTGTATCACAGTGTGAGGGAACAAATTTCAGATTTAGTTACATTTACAGTGAAGCTGTCATTTGAGTGCTCTTACCTTCATGGCGAGGGCGATGAGCGCTCCTTCTGTGGGCCGCCCCAGCAGACTGTGATTCCTGATGACTGCATCGTTACACACACAGCCGACCTGCCATCACACACACCTAAGTTAGTACCCCTTCTTCTGCTTTTTCTTTACCAGGAATGTACACACTGTACCAAACACATTTTGTTCCTTTTATTTCACAAAATCTTTTGAATTTGTATAGAAACCAAACTACTCTCATGCTTTCCAGAGCTTGATTGCACTGTTGTGAACTGTAATAATTTGATCTATTTTGTCCAGTTAAACCTTTAGGACAAACACACACCAACAAAATTTTAAGATTTTTTTTACAAGACTTTTATCATAGCTGTTTATCTCAAAAAATGTTCCCCTGCTCAAACCTCTGCTATGAATGCCAAACTGACTGTGGTGGAAATCCGCCAGGTTTGCAGGTGCCAGAGGTACTTTCTGCAACTCTCTATGACTCCAGTGATTTTAGAGGCAGATGTTTGTTTTTGTCTCTGTCTGAGACAAGATTCTGTGGAAGATCCGAGGGCACGTGTGACAGGTATTGTCTGGACCAGCACCATAGTTTTATGTGTGTGCGGTGGAGTGGTTTTAACTGGCTGAGTGTAGAGGCTCTGTTCTGATAACATGGGTTAAGATTCATCAGCTGGGAGCAGTTTCTTTAGAAGGAACTTGACATGAATCTGTGTACATACTGTTCAACCTCAGATCAGAATGAATACAATATATTTAAGAAGACAACTGGGGCTGTTCAGCTTCTCTGTTCTTTATCACTGATAGAGGTACATTCATCCATTTGTTTTAGGTGTGGGGCCATAGGAAAGATAGGAAGCCTTGGAAAGAGGTCCACTCTTTGCTCCAGGACATTACTGATTAACCACTTTGCATTTTATTTGTGTAACCACATCACAGAAAATTCTCTTGATACAGACACCAAATTTGCGTTGCCAGTTCTCTCCTCACCTCCACGAGACTGCTAACTGAAAGGCAGGAGAAGCCATGGATGATCTCGCCGTTCAGCATAACTTCACCCACTCGGCTGTAGCCAACACCCGTCACCTGCAAGGTAGCAACACAGGTAAACAACAAGAACCAACCTTGTGACAATGAGTCAAACAAAAGTACAGAAAAAGACAAGTATTATTAAACAAGATAATGTATCCTAATAAAGAAAGGCACACTCAGATTGGACAATCAGATTGCACAAAGACACAAGCTGCTCTTTATTTTTTACACCTCCTGTAACATCTCACATTACAGATGCCCCTCTCCAAGTGGAACAGACCATTAACAAATAAAGCCCTTCCTAGGTTTCTGTGAAACTGACATCATTTACATCCTCCCACCTAAAGGTTACATGACTCAACTAATTTTAGGGGACACACACGGTGTACAAAGGATACATGCAGAATATAAGAAATATAAATATGAAAGGCCCACGAATATTAGCAAAATCACACAGCAATCAAAAGGAGCCAGCAGGTTTAAACTAGAACGTGTGTGCTGGTCCTCAGTCACCTGACACATTTTCACGGTATGGCAGCTGGGATGTCCAGATGAAGGAAGTGGGTCAGTCTGTTCTCTGTGGGCTGCAGGAAACTGACTGAACCATACTCAGGCACAGACACCACAGCTAAGCACCAATCTCATTTCTCATTCCAGTGTTTCCACAATAAGCAACACATAATGTGGCTTTAATAACCTAACTGGAAGGCTGGAGAGTATGAAAGAATATAAAATCTCTGTACTGGAAACGAGTTCATGTCAGTGAAATGCAGAGCAACAGCTGAGGATGCTAACAGATAGTGTCTAAAAACAGCTGAAAGCAGTCTGATCTGTGCTGGTGTCAGGAACACTATCTGTTCAGTTCACCTATGAAAACCTATTTTCAGCTCATTATAAACTACAAATGTATATTTTTTTTCTATAAAGTATCACGTGTCACATTTTTAGATGCAGGTTGCTCAGGGTTGGTGACAGTGATAGAGGAGGAGGGGGTTTCGCACCTCAGCATGGAGTCCATCTGATGTGAACAGCTGAGTGACGGTCATCTCGTTCTTTGTCAGAGTACCTGTCTTGTCTGAACAGATCACATTACAGCAGCCTGACAGAGAAAACAGGAGAGGTTTTATAGTTAACAGGAAGAACAGCAGCAGACACACAGCATGAAGGAAACGGAGAGCAAAACATCTCAATAGTCAGTGAATTAGAACATCATCAGGCTTGACGGGCTCATTTACTTAAATTCCTGTACATCTCTGTTGTGAAATACATGCGCTTATTCAGAAGATCATCCCAAAAAACAAAACAAAGAAAGGATCTTCTGACCAGTTAAAGAGGACTGCGAACTTTTTGTTTGTGAACCAACTGTAGAACCACAGGAGCATCTTGCACTTCATTTCTGCTATAAACAAACGGCAAAGTTTTAAGATGTCTTCTTGGATCAAAAGCTTATTTATAATGTTGAGTGATTTTCTAACATTGCCTGAGCATTTAACATCGTTTTATATCTTTAATAATCTGCCTGTAACCTACTTTACATTGTGCATGTATTTTCCCCCCACATGCATGTGAGAAAACATCTGGAGTAAAGTTCAGGCTGTAGTAGAGAAAAATGTTTCCACGGGGCCCCTCGTCTCATGGAAATCTACTGGAGGGATGAGCTGTTGTTTGAATAAGGTCTAAGTCAGATGCTAGTTGCCACCTAGATGACGTACAGAATGGCATCATGTTACCAATTTGTTCATGAAGTAAAATGATCTTAAAGAAACTAGAGTACAGATTGTGTAATTTCACTTTGCGGCCCATGAGGCTTAAGGTTAGGTGTAACAAGATGTTACAGAAGTTGGAAAAAGCAAACCAAAGCCTTTGTCTTTGTGCGTTCTGATCCTCCCACTATGCTGAATCTGAGAATGGCATACAAGCAGATCTGTAAACATCTTCTTTCTCCCAACAAAAGTGTTAGGGACAGTGACAACCTCAGGACATGAGGGATAAAAAGCCTGCTCTATGTCAGGGCTCCAGGCTGTAAAACCCTGTGCTGCAATACTCAGTAGCAAAGTTCAGCATTAATTTACAATGGGACAGTAACACAGAGCTGTTACAAGAAACATACTCAGAGTTTCTACGATGGGAAGCTTCTTGACGATGGCTTTTCTCTTCACCATGCGCATCACACCGAGCGCTAGTGTCACCGTCACCACGATGGGTAAACCCTCTGGTATGGCAGCAACAGCCAGACTGAAGAGAAAGAGACGCCAGCAGTGAGCACACTGTACACAAGTTACTAAGATGAGATTTCACCTTGTTTCACTAGAACAAATTACATGAGCAACCTTTTTTCACAACTTGTGGAAAATTACAATTTTACTCGTCACTGAAGACTTTTCCATGACACACTGGGAAACAGTCTTTTTTACTTCTAAGAACAAAATTATTATGCAGGTGTTTTTCACACAAGTATAATCAATAACTATGTACATTTACTGATGTACAGGACTTCAGTACAGTTTTGAGGTATTTACTTGAGTATTTCCTTTTTCTACTACTTCATACTTTGGCTTCACTACTTTTCACAGACAAACACTGTACTTTTTACTGCACTATGTGCATTTGATAACTTTAGTTACTTTGTGCCTCTTTAACTTCATCTCTTATACTCATTCTGACTATCCTGGTTGTAAAACGTAAAGAGTTGCCAGGGCTGAGTGTGCCTGGGGTAACCTCCCCCACCTGCTCTGTGACGCCTTCGATATTAAAAGGTACTAACACTACAAAAATGAAAGTGAAACCACACAGCGGCCCAAGCTGACCAATCATGTGCATTCCCCACCACTCTTAGGAAGTAATCTCCTTACTTAGCAGCCCACTGCAGTAATGTGATGAGCTGTTTCAGTAGTGTAAGGCATTACAATTTGAAATCCAGCTACTTGTGTATTTGTGTTGGCTTATTCCCTGTCTTACCAGAAATTAACACTAGATGGTGAACTGATACCAACACTGTGCTCACTCTGCTCAGCTGACAGTCTGCTATGTGTTAGCTTGCCACAGGAGGCACTTGGGAGGAGGAGGTTAGCCTCTACCAACAGGAGAAATGTGACTCCGGGTAACTCCAAAGTAATTTAATTTAAATGCTCTGACCTGCTTACAGCAGCCACAGGTAGGCATACACTCAGGGGTCACCTTGTTTTGTTTAGAGCTGAGGAAGGGTCTGAACCAGCAGCTGAGAACAGGACGTCTGGAGGGCTGTGTGCAGTCACTGGGCTAACAACTGGATGGTCAATAATTCCCTACAGAGCACAAGTGTGCCTGCTTGTTAAATATATTCCTACAAGAGGATTTGGAGTGGTTTAATGGCTCCTGGTGGAGCTGGGGAGAGTAACGAAAGTAAAGTAACAATATAGCACTACTTTTGCAGCAACTAGTGAAGCAATGTAATTATACTCTTTCGATGAGTCATGTGAAATCAGTCATTCATTTCCGTTTTCACTTATCCAGCACCGTTCTCCACACACACAATGGGACATGAAGTGAAGCTGTTGCACTTCAAATACACCTCAGCTTTCAGAGGAGCAGACATGAGTCTGCTGGTTCATGGCAGACTACCTGACACCAATAGTGAACATGTCCATGATCCTCTTCCCCTGCAGCCAGCCCACCAGCATGATGACCCCTGAAGCACAGCAAAGACGATACAAGTTAGATCAAACACTGGTGCATACTGTGGAGACACTGAGAATGAAGGTTAACAAAGGACTGACTACTGAACTGGGAACCAACCTATAATGCAGAAGGAATAAAGCGAGAGCTGCTTCCCCAGCAGGTCCATGCTCTTCTGTAGCGGGGTTTTGGGAGCCTAAACAAAAACAGGAAACGGAGGCAAGTTTAGTTACAGTATATAGTACACTTTCATACACAAAGGCCATTCAAAGTGCTTAACACAATGCACACATACAGATGAAACATTAAAATGCAAACTGGATTAAATCATTAAATGCAAATTAAAAGCAACAGTGACAAGATGGCACAAAGTAGCAACATGCATGAGTAGATACTTTCTCACTGTTCTCATTATGCTGTGTACCCCTGTCTTCTCAAGACTAACCTCTGAGTAACTCTAGAGGCAGGTGTACTTTTTCTGGAAATCTGAAACACCAGTGTCTATACAGTCAGCTAAACAGCACAATGAAGTCTGTTGGTCACTGAGTAACGAGGCAGGTAAAATGCAAAACTGAGTGGAATCAAGAAACATTAATTAAAAGGGGGGGGGGGTTCTTCAGCACTTTGACCTCACTCTGAACTCTGGGCACCACCAGTTGACCAGTCCCTGCTGATCTGAGACCCCTACCAGGTTCCAGCAAACATGTCTCTGATGTATTTTGGGTCCAGACCACTGAGAGACTTGAAGACTTTCCTGCACATGCATACCCAAGTTTGTGTTTTCATGGCCAACACATCTGTTTTCTCCAGGAGAAGTCTACTTGGGAAATCAGGCATCAAATGTTTCGATGCATGCAGTAAAGAAATTGTTTGCAAATTAACTGTAAAGTGGCAGATATCACACATCCTGACAACAACAACAACAGCTACAGATTTAGGTGGACGATGACAATTTTAAAAATCTGCATTTAGATAATGTGGACAATGTACCTCTTCCACTTGCATCATCTTGAATACCTCCCCAAACTCTGAGTTCTCACCAGTCCCTATGACAATACCCTGAGGAACACCACAGAAACAAGGTTACAGATGTACATTGATAACATGTTTTTTGCTCCCCAGCTTGGTTTCTGCATGATCAACAATTTTAATTCCTTTCAGTCCAAAGAGACAGAAAGCTGAAGAAAACTGTCATCTTTCAGAAAGTCAGATTTCAGATTTTTAGAAACAATAAAACTGAATAAACAAAGAATCCGGTTTGAGTACACAGACTCGTTAAAGAGGAGACTGAATTATCCTGCTGGTACCTTGCCTTTGCCGCAGCGCACCAGTGTCCCCATGAAGGCGATGTTGCTGCGGGAGGTGATGTCTCCGTTGTTGGCCACCAGTTGGTGGGAGGTGGACTTGGCGCAAGGGGTGGTCTCCCCCGTCAGACTTGACTCGTCCACAGACAGATCGGTTGCCTATTAAGGTGGAGGACAAACACAGCAGGGTCATGATGTACTGACAAATGGATATTGCTGACCTATGCCATAAAGATGCGTCTTTTTGCTGTCTCCACAGGTAGACAGGGTAGTAAAGGGCCTCACACTGTATCCAAGACATTGGTTTTAGGCACTTGGCTTCACTTAGACATTTTACCCAGCTAAATCCTATCTGGTTTCTACAAACACATTTATGCCAATCATATATTTTTTCTGACTCCTTACCGAGACTTGCCTGCCTGGATGATGAACCAATGATCTGGCTCACATAAGAGACGTTTTTAGTACAATCAGGCTAACACACATAAACATGTTCAACAAACACAGTAAATGTTCCAAAAACTCCTTTAATCCTTGTTCAATTACTCATTATGTACCTGCATTTATTTCAGTAAAAATAAAATGTAAAAAAGATACTCAACAAACACAATAAGGATACCAAGGTGAATTTAAGCATAACTGTGCAAAGGGTGTAAGTTTTATATCCTGATGTCACCGTTTTGGTTGTAGCTTCTCTCATGCCAGTGGATTATGGACTAATTAGAAGTCTAGCTGCTCCAGTTTGGAGATAATTAATCTCTGAGCTGGATACACTACGTGAACTGGTTTAAAATACACAATCTAGGAGAAAAATAAACATGGAACTACTGCTTAGGCAGACCTGTACGTTAGGCAGTTACAGATATACCTTTACAATGTTTTAAAACAGAAGGGCAGAAAATCTTCACATCTAAGAAGTAGGAAATAATTACAGATTAATCTTCTGATGATAATTGCAATGCAGCTGTGACCGAGATAAATCCATTCAAAAATGAAGTTAGAAGGAACTTTTGTTTCAGTGGATTCAGAAAGTTTTTAAAATTTTGTAAGAAATTCAGTACATTGTTCATTATTCATCTCAAGTAAACTGAACTAATCAACTCAATTCACACAACAGGTGTGACTTGTTTTCAATGCCAAAGCAAAATGATCACAACAGAGAGAAAGATGACATTACTGAATGGAGCAAAACGTGTGCTACACGTTTGTGACTGTGGTTTTTTGTACGTTAATTATATTTACCTTCATTTACACCCACATAAACTTTATTGTCCATATATGCTGTTTGTTTGCCTGTGACACATTTTACCTTTGTGCACATTAAGGTGACCTGTCATGCACTGGCTTGAGGATACACTTCCATTCCTTGGGATTAACCTGGTAGAGCCTGTACAATTCCTAAATTACACAGTCCTTTCCAAGAGCCTGCCAAAAGATTTCAACTCTCTCATAAGTTTCTGTCTATGAACTCAGGAGATCTGATGTATCTGTACATACTGTACTGGTGAGTGTCCAGGTACAGCAAGTACGAAATGAACATCCCTTGGAAAAATACACATTAATCTTAAGTAAACGTACATGTGCCACATAAACAAGTCCAAAAGAAACCACAGGCATTTGTACTGATGTTAATATTGATATGTTTGCATAGTGCGTGTGTACCTCAAAGAGGCGGACGTCTGCTGGGACTCTCTCTCCTACTGACAAACAGACAGTGTCTCCAGGAACCAGGTCTCTGGCCAGCAGGTTCTCTAGGTTCCCCTCCCTGATACTGAGAAGGGGAGTGGGAAGCAGAGAGCAAGGCTGGATCACCAACTGGGCAAAGTGGGCGATGGCCCAGACATCCCCCCACCCAGCCCAGATTTACTGCACATCATCATGAATTTTCCAGCTTGCAGCAATGTGTAGTACCAACTATGACACCCTCCATCTTGTAACTTTGTCTTATAAAAGCCCTGTGTCAAACCCTTGTTTTGTTTCCTTCATGGTCCATCTGAGCTTTCTAACCTAATTTTGATATTATCATTAGCTTTCAAACCTAATTTTCAAATGAAACCAGGTCTAGACAACACCCATTCACATCAACTTGACTCAGGGTTACTAAGATGTTTCTTTAAGTTTATATTGTGATTGTCTCCTGTAAAACTGTGTCAAAACTTAATTTCTGAATTACAGTAAAACCTTGGATTACCAGTATAATTCGTTCTGGCAACGTGCTCGTAATCCAAAGCACTCGTATATCAAAGCGACTTTCCCCATAAGAAATAATGGAAACTCAGCTGATTCGTTCCACAACCATTTATCCATGTAAAAATGATTACAGTAATACAAAATATAGTATAAAGTAAAAATAAAACAAATTAACCTGCACTTTACCTTTGAAAAGAATTGTGGCTTGCATGAGGGGCCATTGTTGCAGTACAGATATTGACTATATGAGTGAGGCTTGAGAACCATCAGCTCAGTTGTGACGTGACGCTCAGCAGACAAAGCGTACAAACTACTTGTATTGCAAGACATCACTCGTTTATCAAATCAAAATTTTTGCTCATGTTGCAAAACACTCAGACCGGGTTACTTGCAATCCAAGGTTTTACTGTAATTATGACCTCGGCTGCTCCAGACAAAGAGTTCTTTATCTACTAGTATATTAACAGGAAGGTCACGAAGATACCTTCAAAACCTGGTAGAGAGAAAGATGGGGGATGAAGTGGAGAAAAACAACCCACAACATGAGACGTTCTTCATTTACAGGCCCAGCACAGTTGTGGTGTGTCTGATAGTGTGTGGTACTGTGTTAGCTCTCTGCCAGACGAGGGGGCAGCTGTTCTTTCTGTTTGAAGTGCAAATCGAGGCCTGACGAGCTTGTTTGAAGAAATATTTTGTGTTTCTGCCCCTGAACTCGATGTATCGGAGAAAATGTGCCTCCAATTCAGTGATTTCATGCTAAAGTTTGACGCTTGTTTTGTGCTGAAGTCAGGGAGCAAGAGACAGAAGATGAAAGGAAATAAAGAATTTAAAAATATATAATATTTCTTTCATAAAAGAAGTTCCTCATTTCTTTCTGAAGTTTTGTGGTTTATGAAAATTTCTTCAAAAACTGAGCTGTCAGGTAGATTTAATTCCTTGGCATGAGTTGGCGTGTGTTATTTGGTTCAAGCATTTTTATCTGTGTCTGACAATCTTAACATTTCAAACTGTTTCTGCCCCTAATTGTCACTACTACTTGAGACTGAGCTGCCATACTCTACAGATCCACTTGTTAAATCAGTAAATATTCATTTAAATGACTTTTATGCTGCATTTTGGTTGAATTGCATGCTTAACCACAGTTTTTAGCTGCATTGGTTAGTTTTCTGTTTCAAACTGGTGAGGAGCAACAACTAAAACACACTCCATGCTATAAAACACTGCTACTTAATTTCCATATATAAATTTACTCATTGTGACAAGAATAAAAAGAATTCATTGCAAGTCTTTCAAGGAAAGGAAGGTGGATGTTGATGTCACTACGTAGTTTACAAGTTTTCTCATAAAAACCTGAATGTCATGAGCAGGTATTTAATAACTGCAGCAACCGACACTCTCATTTCCTTTATAAACAGTACCAAACTGCATAGACCTGCCTTGGAAAGTTCCTGTTAATCAACAGATAATTGACAGGTAATTTATAAGGAAATTAGCAGGATAATACAGAGCCAAGAAATAAAGCTTCACTGCCTCCTATTGTTGCTTGTGGTGCTTTTCGGTGTATTCCCACACGAGAGGATGGCTGCTTTCTGTGCTTGTACATTTCTTATTGTTTATTTGTGGTGAAAAAGTAATAAAGCCGTTTGGCCATTTTCTTCTGTGTTGAAAAATAGTAAATAGTCAATTCAATGGCATTAGTTGTGGTTGTATGAAACTATTCTCCATCAACTTTTCAATGGTTAGCTGCAACCACACCTTCAATTGCAAAAAACATATTTAAAGAGGTCATTTTCAAGGTGGTAGTTTGTGCAACTGCATACAGAAATCTGAAAAACTGTGCTGGTGAACTCTTCACTGTGGCAGTGTTACTGCCAGCTGACCTGGACAGAATTACATTAACAGAGCAGCAATCACAGACAATGAGGACTGATGGGTTAAGCTCTCACCAGTGACATCCTGGAGGCACCAGCTTCCCGAGCTCTTCTAGAGACTTCTCTGAGCGATACTCCTACACACAGAAGACAACGACACTGCACTGAGCTATAAAAACAAAGACCAGCTGGAACTGTGCAAAAACCATGAATGCACATAGATAAGTATATTCAACTGACTCACACATACAAACACAACACATGCACTCTCCAGTGTTCAGCAGACTGACAACGTCAATGCTACTGTATTTTTAAAGTTGCATTTAAAAACATGACGAACAAAATGCTGAACAAAAATCACACTTAATAAAAACAAGAATTAACTAAGGCGCTGTCCAAAAATATCACATAAAAACTCAAGGACTAAAAAGTTAGGAAAAGTATTTATCAATCTCAACACAGTGAACACCACAGAATGCTGAAGGATTCACACTATAAAAGGCATGGCACAAAGGCGGTGTTGCATTACGACTCATCATGTGACACATGTGGATGCACACAATTCCCAGTTGCATTACGACTCATCATGTGACACACATCACACAATTCCCATAACACACACCAGGAGTGGCACAAATTCAGTGCAGGACTACTGAAATGGATGGGTACTTCAGTATTTTATGCTTTTGATGCACGTTGACTCGGGGAAAACAGGACAATAGTGTGTCCTGAAGTGTTGATGCACATCAACCTGCAACGATACCCATCAGCTCGCTGCCGGTGTGTGGCCCTTCACTGAAAATAATGGGTGTGGGTGTTTTATCCCACTCCACCTATGTGAGGTGCCCTTAAGGGTCTGTTGCTGCATTAACCGACCAAAGATACTTGTTAACAGGTACTAAAAGCACTAACACACCCAAACCTGACTTACCTGGACAAAGGCGACTGTCACCACAATGATGATGGCCTGTAAGGGGAAAAATGAGACAGGGAGAAGCAGATGGTTAAGATTCTACATCAGACATTTTTTAAATGTAACTCTCACTCTGTCATATGGAAACTGCGTTACACCTGCAGTTCCCAGAAACAGTATCTATCCCACCTTAAAAGTCATTATGTATGAATGTCATTCGGCGCCGAATGCAAACTCTGTGCACGCTTCACAAACCAACTGACACACAACACCTTGTGCCTGAGGGTTGTGGTCTCCATTTATCCAGTCAGAGAATGACCTTCAGCTTGAGAACATAGTGCTATCGGGTCCTCGCACTCAAATGTACCTGCTCAAGCTCAAAGCTCTGTCCTCGCGCTCAACTATAATGTTGCTTGCATAACTTTCCTGCACTTGCACTCAAACCCTCCTCCTTGTACACAGGCTGATGCTGCACGTTTGTGACACGTCTGTTCTCGGATTTTTGTGAAGCAACCCTGTCAAAATCCCCCAGCCAGCAGAATGCCAGTTATGGCGTTGATCTAAAAATGTGTATCGTGCCTGTGTTCAGATTACACTTGAGTTTTGACTGAGAAGTATGCATTCAGGTGCAAATGAATATTAATGTATTTTAATCTCCTCCATGAGCTGTGTGTGTGTGTGTTGAACTAAGTCATCAGGAGTAGCTCAATCATCAGTTTGTTGTTCATTCTCATGTTTCTGCTGTAATGAACACCACAGGACTTTACTCTTGACTTGTATATTTTCATATTAGACATTTTCTTTACCGTTTTCATTTTTCTATGTTGGTTTATGCACATTATCAGTTCAATTAGTCACTACTACAACAACCTTTCCCACAGGAGCCTAAAAATTGAAGCTTTCTAATATAATTTGAGGCAAATATTCCTGCATGCACCCACTGCTGACACAGCCATAAAGTGTAACTTCTGTTAATAACTTTCCAAGAACTGGAGCTCTCTGGAGTGTTTTCACAGGGAAACAGCATTAGAAAAACACAAGAGAAATGAGTGAAGTTTGCAGTTAACAGTGTGAGGTGTAACGCACCACTGTGATGCTGAAGGCATCATCATACTGGCGCATGGCAACGCTGATGACAGCCGACACCAGCAGCAGCAGGATGAGAGGATCTTTGAACTGGGGAGAAATGGAGAAACAGATTAGCATCAACACAATGCTGAATCAGTGACAATGGCCTATATTCAGACAGATGTGTGCTCTGATAGTTCTGTTTGTAAGGACTGAGGACTAAAAGTCACACAGAGGTCAGTTTGGGATTTTTGGGAAATTGGGGTCTTCAGAAAAGTAAGAACATTTTATTAGTAGTGTTCTATTTTATTGCATTATCTGTCAAATCCAGTCATTGCTGGATGATGCAGACTAAGTTTCTAAAACTACACTCACATTCCAGCTGATCCCAAAATCTGTCCCTCCCTCCCAGTGACTCCAATCTAGTGTTTCCACAGAGGAGTGAACAAACCAAACCAGGTGTTCTCAGATCAGATCTGGACCACTTGCACATGTTCCTAGATCCCATTCAAAAATAATCATTGAACAACGACAGGAAACAGAATAGGAAATCCATATTTAAGGCTGCAAGCATCGATAGTTTCATTGTAAAAGGACTTAAAAAAACTTTATCCACTAACAGTTTTTCTATTGACTCAGCTATTTGTTGCAGACATCACATTCACTCCCTGGATCAACGCATCCTGGCCAATGTACCGTGACTGTACGGTGTTTACTGCCAGCTTCAGCTCACGAATGATGTGTTTCTACATAGCCAGTACACGCTGCCTATTTACAGGTACAGGGGGTTTTGTTTTAGAGTGTAGGTTAGACATGAATATCAGCAGCACAAACACAGCGCCTTCTCTTTTTTTACACAGTGAGAAGTGACAGCACTGTACCTGTCAGGTCAAGTGTGCACAGTTTCTACAGGGAAACCTGTAGAAACCTCACAGAAATGACCTTTTGTTTGGCAAACAAACCAAAGATCCAACACCTTCTTCTGTCTTCTCGTCTCACCCTCCACACTCTGCATCCTTCCCTCTCCTGCTGTTTCTACATTTAACCTCTGCTTGCTGCTGCTCACACAGACCCCTCATCCACTGTCCCTCCAGCTGCTCGGCTCCACAGCAGCAGCAGTTTCTGGGTTCGTCTGAGTTCATGTGGACAGAACAGACCAGAGACAAAGCTCCTTCAGGCTGCTTCTATTGTTTAACTGCTCAAATCTGACAGAGCCAGAGGCAGGTGTTCAGTCTCCCTGCTAAAGCCATCCCATTCCTACTACATGAGGAGACAATGTGAAGAAATCATCTATGCATATCAGGGCTGCAACTAATTATTTATTGATCATTCTTCTAATAAGCAGCAAACCCTCTCTTTTTAGAGGACTAAACGTCTTCAGAAAAACAGCATATTTGCCTTTTTTAAAATGTGTTTTCTGAGGATTGATTGTTTCGGGTCTATTGTGTTTAGTGTATTTGACATTTTAATTTTTAAATGTCAGAGATGTGAACAAGGTGGAACAGCACTACACCCCATATTATCATCTTCTTCTGGTTTGTCCAGTTCTCTTGCGCCATGGCCTGCTTGTAAACAAAACTGAATGTCTATGCAACATCTACTTGCAACAGATGTTGATTTTGTCATGATCAGACGACATTATGGTGGTACTGAAGATAAGATAAACTTTGGAAACCTATAATGCATTATGTACTACAGTGCCCTTCATATGCCTGTACAAAGGGTTTAGTGGACTGAATAGATTGTTACAAGACTGAAATAATAAAAAGACCCAGTTATACTCTAATCACTTTTTTCATGAGACATTCCTCATGTTCACTTAAAACCTTTTTAAATAAATAAATACTTGTCATATAAGTAAATTATTAAAAGTAGACTAAGTCTCTCATCCAAGCACTAACCAGCTTTCGAGTTCAGACGAGATTGGGCGTTTTGAGGGTGGTATAGCCGTAAGCTAAAAGTAGACTAAGTAACTTGTGAAAAAATTGTATTTACACTTCCCAAAGATAAGAAGCCAGGTTTATAGAACCCTTTGTGGAATTCTTAAAGCATGATAAATTTCAAGATAACACACCTGGCAAACAAAGGCGTGAAAGCTCCGGCCCTTTGCAAAGTGAAAATGACTGTATGAAGAAAAGGACTCAACGTTTGTTTGCGTTCATTTTAACTTGGTGTAATGCTTTTGTCTATTTGTGTTTAATCAGAAGACTCTTTAGGCAGTTTAATGTTGCAGGCCTGCTCTATGTCCTCTTTTGCTCCCGAACACGCACAGTATGTTGCAACCATTTGAACATGAACATCAGCTGATGCAGGTCTACATTCTTATGAGCTATTACCATGTTATGTAATGGAATGCGGGTCGGGCTGTTTGAGCAGCATGACAAAATTTAAAAGCACTAATACATATGGTACTCGGCAGCATGGTGGCACAGTGGTTAGCGCCGTTGCCTCACAGCGCGAAGGTTTCAGGTTCGGGCCCCACCTGGGACCTTTCTGTGTGGAGTTTGCATGTTCTCCCCGTGCTTGCGTGGGTTCTCTCTGGGTACTCCAGCTTCCTCCCACAGTCCAAAGACATGCAGCTTAGGTTGATTGGTGTCTCCATATTGCCCATAGGAGTGCGTGTGTGTGGTTGTTTGTCTATGTGTTAGCCCTGCGATGGATTGGCGACCTGTCCAGGGTATACCCCGCCTTCGCCCGATTACCGGCCGGGATTGGCTCCGGCACCCCCCCATGACCCCGCTCAGGGATTAAGCGGTAAAAAATGAATGAATAATACATATAAAAATGGTATGAAATAAGAACACTATAGAAAAGGAAACGAATAGATTGACTAACATTGCAACACAGATGATGAGTGTTGAGACTGTTTCTCACGTTCACAACATGGAACAAAAGTGTCACAAAGTTTTTACATTCTTTACGCTGTTTGAGGTTTGACTGGTGCTCTCTTCACAAAACCATCTTGTTGCACCATCTTCTCTTGCAACAGTTTAATGGCACAGACAAATAAATAAGTACCTCCAGCTGTTTATGTTGACAAACCTTCTACAAACTCCTACAGTGTACGGAACAGCCATGGACAGAAACATACATTCAGTTGCATTTTCTTTGGCAGATTTTCTCCATAGTTGGATGGAAACATACTGAACACGCACTTACTGCAGTGACACCAAGGTGACTTTAAATGGAAATATGAAAGGACTGTGGCATACAGATGGTGACAAATAACTGTGCAGAAACTCAACCAGCAGGGTCTCTGATCAATCAGCTGATCATTGTCCTGATGATCTGATTGATCTGTTTATTCCCAGAATGTCAGACACTGGGAAAAAGTCCCACTGTGACTCTCCAGAGCCAAAGGTAGTGTCTTCACATGTCTTGTTGTGTCCAACCAGCAGATCCACAGAGACTCAGCTGATTCTCATGTCTGACAAAGAAAAGCATCAGCTCCTCACATTAAAGGAAGTAGAACCAGAACATGTTGGTGACTGTTGCTTCTAAATAGTTGCCGGTTAATTTTCTATCAGTGAACTGACTCATGGCTGCAGCTCTAGGTCCCTGAATGGCTTCATGAGGACGACACAGTGGGTTGGACACAGTGAGGAGATCTGGTTTGGAAGGAGGATGTTTCCTCTCTCCGACAGAGGAGACCTGACCCTGCTCTGGAGACACAGCCCTGACAGGGCCCTGATGGGCTCTGGGTGATAGTCTGTTCTCTCAGCTGCCTGTGATACATAGAATACTATAGGACTGCCTTATGTCCCACCATGATCTCCATGACAAAAGAACATGCATGCTCACAGTACAAGTAGTTTGTCATAAGGAAGCTAAGAGGACTTTAGAAATAAAAAGATTTTACTTCACTGATCTGCTAATTCATGCAGCAAAGCACCGCCAGATCTAATCAGAGCACCTACTGTGTATGAAGCACCTGTGGTGAAAGTCATCAAGTTTCTCTCTTCAGCTCATTTTGTATGAAGCACCTGTGGTGAAAGTCATCAAGTTTCTCTCTTCAGCTCTTTTTTGTTTTTGTTTTTTTCCAAAAAATGTGTCTACAGAGTCACAGACGCCTGCATGACACACACTGTGTGAACCATGGTGGTGTGACATAAAGTCCTGCAAACTGCTAGTTGTTGTTCAGCCAAGTTTCCCCTTTGTTATAAATAGACATCCACCTTAAAGAGAGAGAAATGTGTTACCTGTGACAGGTATTTCCTCCAAAGTGGCTCGTCCTCACTGATGTCAAACTCGTTCCAGCCATGGTAGGCCCTCCTCCGGCTCACCTCGCCCTGGGTCAAACCCAACTGCAGGTCGGCCTGTCAGCAACAACACAACGATCACCGCTTTAAGATTTCATTGCTAAATCTAAGACGCCATAATTCTAGATGAACTTTAATTATAATGAACTTAGCCTAACCATCATCTTTGTCCTAACCATTGGTACATTTAGTGCTGCAGAATTCAGTGACCTAAGGTAGCAGCGGCGGCGGGGGGGCACTGACAGCAAGCATCTGGTGCTGTTTTGGAGTGAGAACAGCAGCCAAATAGTCCTGTCCCATTTCAAGTTTGTATGATCAATATTGTTCCACTAACAGTGAATCGAATGACAATGCAAAATGGAAAAGTGGTCTCATCAGACAAAACCACAGAGAACTATCACCTGACTCTAAAGTTCAACTCAGTTCTTCTCTTTTTAGCCTCTTTCAAACACTAGATTTGTGTCACATTTCCTCTCTGTCCCCTGCAGCAGCAGCCATTTCAGCCAAGCTCTGATAAACCATTGTCCACGGCCTACTGAGCAGCAAACAGCAGACAAGCCCAGTCAGAGACCAGCTGGTGAATACAGTGGAGCATTTAGCAGCTCCAGAGCCAGAGGTGGTGGAGACCAAACATAGAGCTAACAGAGAGGGAGCACTGCACTGAGGTTCATCCAGGGGACATATAACCCTACACACTGCTTTTTCAAGGCGGGATTGGTGTGCCTTTATTCTGTTTCATTTTCTGTGTTTAAGCACAAAGCCAGAATGGCGGGCCAATTTCTTTGCACCTATGGTTCACCTTGCGAGGTAGTACCACGGGTGAACAAAAGGGGAGATGAGGAACCAAGTGCTATGTTTTGATGGCGTTATATGTGCGTGACACTATCACTGGTGTCTCAAGTCCGCATGCCTTTCTGCCTTGAACTGTTTTCAGCTTCTCTCTAACTTACAGGTCAAAGCATTCCTGATGTCATGAACGCATTGACTACAGTCATTACTCATGGCATTTGCACACATAGCAAGAAACACGCTAACCAATTTTGCTTGAAGTGAAATAAATGCTTGAAAAGCCCAGTGGAGGAATATACAGCAAGGCGCCATGCTGTCCTGGCCTGAGGACAGCAGGCCAATAGCCTCTCACTTGCTTTGTACCTGCAGGATAGAAGCTACTTCGTCCACAGGGAGTTCGCTGGCTTTTCTGGAGGTTAACACCGGCACCATGGTCTCATCCTCACTGGAGGGTTCTCTCTCGGAAAGCTGCAACACAAACACACAGGGGAAAAAAAAAGCATTACTGAAGCAGACAGGACATGGAGAAACAAAAAATTCTTTACTGAGGTCAAGGACATCTTTATGTGGAGTTCAGAGTAGCAGACTCCCCACTAACATCATATCAGCAACTTGCTTTTATTCTGTCTACAATTTCACACTCCAAGGATTTCACACTGTCAGCTTTACACCTTCATGAGCTGAGAAAAAAAGTCAACACAAGGTCTTCTGTTGCAACAGAAACTCACACACAGCAACCTGAGTAATATGTAAAAAAGGACATGATGGTCTGTATTCCTAATGCATCAGAGCCAAAATCTGTTTATGTAATATTTCACTGGCAGAAGTGTTTTGTGTAGCAGAGGATGTGGAGTGTCTTGTGTCTTCTCACACAAACATCAACAAGCTAATTACAGGTACACGCCAAAACCTATAGAATGGACAACACTACACAGGTTACCATATAGCTATTAGATTTACAGGAGTGGGCAATATGGATAAAAATCTAAACTACAAAACACAAATTAATCACAACTGGCACAGTATAACCTGAAGATCTAAATCAGCTCATTTTGTTCACCTGTAGTTTCTGAGATGATTTCTGACAAACCAAGTGACACTTCACATCAATATGCCACAACCGTGTCTCAGAGTTAAATACTGTTTATAGCACAAGTCAACATCAAACAATAAGATCATCTCTGCCTGCAGGAAAATAACCTGTTATGTCCACAAACAAGGGCTGTGCCAAAGCCTCCCGGAAGATCACGGGAACCTGATACTTTAGTCAGGAAAGAACAGAAACCAAGTATTGTAGGCCATGTGTTGGGTTAGTGCTGCTGAATATCAAGAGTTTGCTTGGAACACTACCACTTTAATCCTGAACCAGGAAGGAGAATCTGAGAATGGAAGGTTAATGAGACTGGCAAACATGGTCATATATTCAAAAGGATTAGATGTGGGTGAACCCAGAGTTGAGAGACTCTATGCACAGAGCCAGCAGCACCACACCAGCACTCTTCCTCAAACTGGACAGGTTTAGAGAGCGGGGCCTGATTCAACACTAATGCCAGTGACAGCGTTTTTCAGCAAGTTAAAACTCTGCTGTGCACAGTGTTTATCGGTTGAAAGGTGCGTGCTCCTTCCAGACTCCGGACTGTCAAGGACAAAAAATCTGCTCAAGTTGGTGGGAAGTAGAGACGCACCGACTGATCAACAGAGATTGGAAATGCCTGGTTTTCAGAGTGACTGGCCTTGACCAGTGACCAGCCGATCTTGCTGAGATCTCTGATTCTGTGCCGATCAGATTTAGAGTCATTCATGGCGCATACCAAAAGCCCAGCATTTCATGTGCACCTCACACTCCAGTCTGTTCCAGTCACATGTTCACTCACACAATGGAAGCCCCTGGTGTCCAAACAGTGCACAGAGGAGCTCCAGAAACACCTTGGAGAAGGGGAAACTATCCAAACCTCCAACAGACAGTACACAGTGAGGGAAATACTGGCTACACGTGAAATGCATGTATTTGTACAATGTACCCAACCCATGGTAAAACACACCAAACACAAACAACACACACCGTAGTTCTGGCTGCTGATCCCAGAGGCTTCAGGTTTCCCCTGAACTCCAGAAAACACATGAACCGAATTTGGCTGTCTGAATCTGTGGCATCAAAAATCCAATCTGCCCTGAATGTTATTGGGAAGGAACAGATATCTGCCCCTTTCAGCAGAGGAAAGCACAAACGGCTTGTTAATAACATACATTAGTTAACATAGTGGAGGGCTGTAATTTATGGGGTATAAAAACAAGGGTAAAAATATTTTTGAGTGGAGTGGGTCTTTAAAAAAAAAAAGAGGGGGCTCACAGACATTCACCACGTTAACATGTTCCAGCCTTAAAGCTTAATGTGGAGAGGAGTGACTGTAGGGACAAACAACTCTTTACAAATCAGAGCACTGTATTAGGACAGTCTGTCAGGTTCTGTGTAGAGGTAACATCTCACCCAAACTGACTGCTGAGCAGCAAGGGGAAAAGAACAACCTGTGTTCATGTCCTGTGGCTACAGTGGAGGGTGAATCTGTGGTATTTCTCATCCACTTCCAATATTTTCACAGCCTGAATCTGGAGAGAACGCTGGGCAGTTTACTTGCCAGTCGGACCTGCTGCAGCCAAACTGACACGCCTTCAGCTGCGACATCGTGGGTTATGGTAATGTACCTCCCAGCATTCGAATGCCATGAACACAGTGAAGGGAGCATTTTCAGCAGTGACTGTTAATGATAAATGAGAACCAGCTTAATGTAATAACCTGATCCGCTCCAGGCGGCAGGATTACTGTAAGTTCCTGCTGCTGCAGAGATTCAGAGAGAACAGGTGCAGGAGACATGCGATACCTGCAAGCAGGTTTGTCACTACACAGGAGCCCTGACATTTTCTACGCCCCACCTTTCACAGAAACACAACCTGCCTGCAGGTGTAAGTTTAACACTTGTTAAGGCCTTAAAATGTCAACTACAACCTGACTGTTAAAAACAGTTTCTACACATAAATAAAACCAGCAAAGTGCAGCAGAATTAGTGTTTGCACACACACGTTTCTTTATAGGAACCTAGCACAGGAGAAGAGTCACTGCAGAGCGGATGAAACCCTGAGACCTGATTAGGAAGCTTCAGTTGGACAAAACTGTTCAATGTTCCAATTTAGTGTATTGTTCATACTGTCAGAAAGCAATTAGGTTCAAGAAGAAGGTTCTTACTAACGTCAAAGATCCAAAGGCACAGGTCCTCAAATTTGACACTTTACATCACGGTAAATGTTTTGAACTATTGCTTATACCTTCACCAAATGTTGTCTAATGTTTACAGACCAAACAATCACAGTCATTTGCAGATGAATGAGTAAACAGAATAATCAGTTCAGTCCTAGTCTAAGTGTTTTCAGTTATTTTCAAGTGTTTTTTTAGAAAAACAGCTTAGTGATCACAATAAGCCTAACTACTCAGTATAAATAAATAAACAACACAGTCTGAAGTCAGACAGTTTCCTGATTTTGTTAAATTTGTAATCAGGCCAGCTCTGTAATACTTTCTAAATATATTATGTTTAGGTTAAGGTGTCCACATCTACCCAGACTCCCCCAGTTTCTGATTGTCCACTTTAAGAAAACAAACAGCTTCCCTTTAAAGTCCTTGTCTTGTTTTTGCAGTGTGGCCCGTATCACTTATTAGTTATAAGAACATTTTAGAGATAGAATCAATTAATTTAAATAAATTATCTAAAATACTGGTTTGAGGGTGATAAGGACAGCGAACACACAAACTACATGTTGCAAACACGGCACTGTAAACTGTGCACAGCGAGTACAGCAGGTTAAAGCAGAACCAGGAAGTAACTCTGCAAGATCTGGCTGATATTTACAGTAAATAAATCAGTGTTCACACAAGCAGAACAAAGTTCAAATGAGGCTCGGTGTTTTTACTTTAAATAAATGGTGACTACTTTTGTTAAACTGTCTGTATCATCAAGGTCAAAAAAAAAAAAAAACAGATTTTATTTTCCCCAGTGTCCTGTAATAAGTTCTACTCCTCCTGCCTCCACTTGATGGAGGCCTTTAGGATGAAAGGACAGGCTGAGTTTAAGGCTGTGAATACAAGCTGGTACGAGACATTCCAACAGTTGCAAATTGGTACAAAAGATGATCACAGAGTCAAGGGGGAAAAGAGGTCTGCAGGCAACGCAAAGGCAAACAGTTCAATCACAGAACCTACCACCTCTGTTATCCAGTGTCCTGTTGGGAAACCCTGCATGTGATTTGCATTTGCACCGATTAGTGTATATCTTTCTTGACAATAATCCTTTGTGCTGAAGATAGGCAACTAGAGTAGAAAAGCACGACAAACCAAACAACAGTGCAGACTGGGAGAAAGCATAGGGGGAAACACCCCTGTGAGGTTCAGACCAGAGGACGCAGATCTCACCTGGAGGATAAAAAGCTCCTTCTGAAGTAAAGACTCAAGAAACCAACATAATCCCCCCTATGAAGTAAGTTTACTAAAGTACAAATCTGAGGTACTATATGCTACTTTTACTTTTACTCCACTGCCAAGTCAGAGGGAAATATTTTACTTTGTATTGCAATACATTTGTCTGACAGCTTTAGTTACTTCACATATTGAGATATTTGCAGACTGAACATATGGAGACTCGCAGAACGCGATACTCCAAAGAACTAGTTTATAGAAGTAGATGAAAAGTAAGTTGGAAACATTTTTGATGTTCAATTATGCAAATTTCATGTAAAACCGAAACAGTGAAAAACTGCTTTTACATGAATGCATATGGAAAAAAAAAACAAACAAACAAAAAAAAAACAACTAAATGATACATTATCAAACACCAACAGCCAAACAAGCTCATTTCTGCATTGAGTATTTTTCCTTGTAATACTTTAAGTACATTTACTGATTGTTTACATATTTCTATTTATTTAAGTAACTTTTAAGACAAAGCAGCATGAAATACTTTTTCACGGCACTGGCTGTACTTAAAGGTGCATTATCTGAGTTTTCCGCATTTGGCTGCCAGAGTGAAGAGGTGGCGTCTTTTGCACAGAGAGAGTGGGACAAAGAAAGAGCACCAACCAGGGTTAACATCGGTTTGGCAGTTTGACATGGAGAGGGTTAAAAGCAGCCAGAGGACTCAGACTGGATTCATATGTGGCATTCTTCCTTCCGGATGAGCATCTAAACATTTTACTTCCCAACTGGCTGCCTTTAGCATCTAAGCATCTAACAATCTTTCAAAATTGTAAATAAAAACAAAATCACTACACATAAACCACTGGACCAACCTTTTGACAGAATACATCACAGAGAAAATGGCATCCACTCACAAGAATAGTTTATCTGCTTTTTATGACACATGGAACCCATTTTTAACACATTTCAACTTGAATCAAATGCCTGGGGCTGAGGCCACGCACAT